GAGGAGTTCCCAGTCATTTCTTTCAGTCCTCCAGCAGGTGAGGATCAAGTCTTTATAGAGTATGATATGCCATAGCTCGAGCCAGACTGCCTATGGAATATGGATTGCTGGGGATGGGTCTTGTTTGAAAATGTTCCTACAATTGCGTTTGACTTATACTCCCTCAAGAAGTCATGATTGACTGATAGCATTGTTGGCTTGGAAATTTATAGCTGCTCTTGATTCTGTGTGTAAATGTCTAAAAGTAACTGGGCTAGTTTTTATGTGTGATTTACAGGATAAACCCACGTCTTTATTCTCAGCCACACCAGGGATATTAATCAGGCACAGCTTCACCGTCGAAATAAGTTATCTCTGTGTCTGTGATGTGCTCTGAGCATTTGCAAATCCTTCTTACCGGACTGGGGACTCTCACTCTCATCCTGTTCTCTGCCTGCATCCTGCTCTCAGGGTTAGTGTTCGGTGTGTGTAAGACAGTTATTATAATTGGACAGTGGAACTAAACCGAAATAGCTTTTGGCTTGTGCTCCCACCTAGTGGGGTTCTAGAAGCCCTAACCAACCCCTCCTACCTCTGGTGGAGTCTTGCTGGGAAAGGAGCCAGGCTTTCTCTTTAGCAAACACTGAGCTTCTTACTGCCCCCTTTTAAGGCTGGGGGGCTCAATGGAGGCTGCCTCAGGGCTGCTAGGGTTGCAACTTATTTTTTGAAATCATTATCATTTATATTGAACCCAAATGAAGATCTTTGAAACAGACAAACTGAAGGCATTTGCTGCAGCCTGAACAGATGGCCCTTCAGGAAATACCTTAACCAGGACTGTTCCTTGTTCCCCTTCTTGGAGTCTTACATAGACCATTTTCTGTATAATAGAATTAGTACTTTTAATCACAAAGCACTATATTTTAGACTTTCTAGTCACCTATTTTCGGTGTCCAGTGCCATTATACCTGAGAAGTCTCAGAGATTTTCATCTCTCTTTGACATTGAACTTAAGTGGCCCATGGCTAATGAAGTAGAAAAGAATTGTTAATAATGGCTTTTCACTTCCAAATTACTTTGGAATTCTCCAGCAGTGGCCTCATGTCCCCAAAACGTGGTATTATATTTACACTTTATTTTTTCAAGGAACTATTTTTGCTATAAATAGGGCAAGACTTTAGCACTATCTATGTAAAGCAATATGTGATTTTTACAAACCAGTATTGATGCATTTAGGAAGACTTAGAGTATCTTCTCAAAAGAAGATCTAGAGGATAGTCTTAATAAGATAGGCCTGTCAGTTATTTATATTTTTAAAAGAATTATTTTTTATTTAACTTTATTTATTTATTTTAATTTGACCAGAGAGGGAGAGAGAGAAAGATGCCAGGTTTGGGACTTGTACTGCAGTCAGCTATGTAGGAGACTAGCGCCCTTAACCACCACGCCACCTGCCAGCCCTGGTCTGTCAGTTATTACTTAGTTTAGAAGAATAGTTATGGGTAGTTTTGGAGAGGAAGATATTCTGATAAAAACAAATTTGATTTTTTTTTCTCTCTCTTAATCTCTAAAAATTTTAACATTAAAAAAAAATTATCAAATTTTAACATTAAAAAAAAAATTATCTGGGACCAGCAGATAGGGTAATAGTTACATTGCTGGATTCCCAAGTAGTCAACCATGGTTCGAGTCCCAGACAAGGCAGCTTAAAGCTCACACTGGGCACGTGTGGGTGCGTGCCCAAAATCCCGAGAGCATAGTGGAGAAGAAGGGATTGTGGTGTGGCCATCCCCCCTGGGGGATGATTTCTCGTTTTCTGTCTTTCTCTCTGGCAAGCGCACAGGCCCTATAGCAAAAATTGTCCCCCCCAAAAAAAAAAAGTATTTTACGCAAAATAATTATATGCCCGTTTTTACGCTCTGATTTGCCTGTAGCTCCGTTTCTTTTGTATGCTAAGAAGCACATGTCAAACACAGGCTCACTTTGCTTTTAACTTTCAGATATGTTTTTGGCTTTACCTGATTAGTATGTTATCCTGTCAATAATAACAGATTTAATAGTTTTGTCTGTTAAGAAGTTCCTAGTACTGGGATTGGCAGGTGGCGTGGTGGTTAAAGGCACTGGGCTTCCACATGGCCGACCGCAGTTTGAGTCTCGGACTTGGCGGCTTGCTTTCTCATTCTTCCCCACCCACCACCCCCACTCTTGCTCTGTCCCTCTCTGATCAAATTAAAAGAAAAGGAAGAAAAGAAAGAAAAAATAATTCTAAGAAAAAATTCTCCGTATAGACAAAAATAACATCTGCCATACTCTCTAAAAACATACATACCCCAGACTCTCTTCACTACGCTAACACCAACCAGCCCCCTACAGGTTTCTATGTGCTGGGAGTCCTTCCCCTCAAAATAACCCTAGCCTTTCTAGAGGAGACAAAACAGAAACGAGACTATCAGAGGAAGCCCTTGGTCAGGAATTGATCTAACACTTCTGGTAAGCCTGTTCCTGCTAGACATTCAACTCTAAATCAAATTACAAAAGATTACTTGGGGTCCTTCCAACTGTTTGTCGTATGTCCGTGCTTTTGCTGCTGTAGTGGGTCCGCCTAGATCGCTTGTTTTGTATTAGGGCTTCACAGGATTGTTCCTCACTGGGGGTTATTCTTCATTCTTCACGTTCTCAGCGTATGTGTGTCAGAGCCCTGAGTTCCAGATCTGCCCTATCTGACTGTTGTCCAGTTGAACAGTGTTCTGGCTGACCCAGTAATAATTGTTTTTTGACTCTAATAATTCTCAAACCTCTCACGTCACTTACTCTAGTAGATACCCTGAAATATGTGTGAAAGTAGTTACTGAAAACCGCTCCAAACAAGCACCCTGACCGACTCATAGCCCAGCCCACCCTGTCTCAAATTCTCGTTCATTTGCTCTTCTAGACAGAACCCTGGCTCCAGGAAAACAAGGCCGTTCCTTGGTATTGGTATTGGCTCTAGGACCCCACCTGGGTACCCAAATCCTCAGACGTGCTCGTGTCCCTCAGATAAAATGGCATAGTGGCTTCCACTGTCCCCAGGGTGCATTCTGGTAGCTGCTACCGCTGCTCAGCAGGTTGAGGCCACAGGAGTCCCAGGTTTGATTCCTGGCCTATGCTAAGAACTGGGTGTGTTGACACATGCTCATAGGCCAGCTACTCAGGAGGCTGTGGATTACAACACAGCAAGGCCCTGGCTTTAAAAAGGTGGCTGGGGATGGCCTGGGATTTTTACCTAACCACAAGCATCTTCTCTTATATTTTAAATCATCTCTACATTATGATACTTCCTACGACATAAATGCTGTATCAATATGCTTATACTGAATCGATTAAGGAATAATGATGGAAAATATCTGTATATAGAACCAGTTTTTTAGAAAATAGTTTTGATTCACAGTTAACTGACTCTACAGAGGCAGAGGCCGAGTGTATTATTAGTATTTCTCTGAGAGAATGAGGGTTACGAGGGAGGAGTGGCTGTACCCTGTAGAGAGGCTATAAATAAAGTTTCCTCCAGATACTTTTTATCTGATGATGTATTATGTGCGTCCGCTTGATGTTATTTTTTGTTCTTAAGAAGAAAAAGGAGTCACAGTCCAGTAATTAATCATCTTTTCTTTTCAGTTTCCAAAAAAGGACTTACAGCAAAATGAGTAATCCAGCCATCAAGAGAATAGGAAATCACATTATCAAATCTCCTGAAGACAAGCGAGAATACCGTGGGCTAGAGCTGGCCAACGGGATCAAAGTCCTTCTCATCAGCGATCCCACCACGGATAAGTCGTCAGCCGCGCTTGATGTCCACATAGGTATGATTTAAAATTGTGAATTAAACTTTATTCCATTTTACTGACCTAAGGTTGACGTTCCCATCCTTTATAGTCATGGTTCTGATTTTTTTTTTTATTCCATTTTACTGACCTAAGGTTGACGTTCCCGTCCTTTATAGTCACGGTTCTGATTTTTTTTTTTTTTTTGGTACACTTAATAAATATCTCCCATAGATTCTTACTTACATATTTCTTCCACACTGAAATGTTGCTTCAGTCAGCTTGCTGCTTATCTGTGTGAACACTTAGTAGGGGGTTGCTGCTTCCTTCTTTTTTCCCCCCTCTGGAAAGCTCTCATTTAACTCAATGGCATTTTAAAATTGAAGAAATAAGGTCGCGTTGAGCAGAGAACCATCATCACCTGCTGTGATGTAGAGTACTTTGCAAGTACCATGGACTTCTGCTCCAGGACCCTTAAAAGGGGTCTCCGTACAATGACTGAGATAAGGAAAGCACTGTGCTTAATGTTTCACAGCTAGTAGGACCGCTAACCCCCACCCTGCTCTTACCACTATGCTATGTAGTCTCACAATAAAATAAACCAGGACCGGAAAGGTCTAGTTCTTATAAAAGAGCAGATTTAACTCTTTCTTTCCCTCCAATGCATGAGGAAATGAATGTCCCAAGAGGTTAAGTAATCTGCCCAAGGTCACCAGCTAAAGTCATGTCAGGTCAAGCGCTGGTACCCAGTGCTTTCTGACTGCTGGTTTACCTTCTAAATACCAATTTAGAGCAGCCTGTGCTTAACTCTCTCTGATTGGATGGTGGGCCTTTTTATGCTTACAGGAATTCCAAATCATCTGTAATTCGTCTGTACTTATTAGCCTTCAACTTTAAAAAACGATTTATTATATATGTATTATCTCTCTCAGGTTCATTGTCAGATCCTCCAAATATTGCTGGCCTAAGTCATTTTTGTGAACATATGCTTTTTTTGGGAACAAAGAAATACCCTAAAGAAAACGAGTACAGCCAGTTTCTCAGCGAACACGCGGGAAGTTCAAACGCCTTCACTAGTGGAGAGCATACCAACTACTATTTCGATGTTTCCCACGAACACCTGGAAGGTGCCCTAGACAGGTAATGTTACATAGCCTATCGGTTATTCAACTTGGTGCATGTATCATGTTCATAATAACAATTGTTTTTGTCATTTTTACAAAGATGGCTTTATGGTGTTACAGTTGAGCAAAGGGTATTTTAACTAGTATTTTTCTCTGTGTTTTCTAAAAAAGTCACAAGAGACCTCATACATTTACTCTGTGGGAAAGGAAAAATAACGGTGTGGCTTTGAACCAGGCTGCAGGCCTACAGAATACCTAAGGACTCATAAAATTCTCACTGGCCCCTCCCCTCTAACTGGTGCTGCATTCAAAGCATGTCATGAAGAATAACTTGTGACAGTGTCATGGATTCCCTTATTTTTCTCTCTAGAATTATGTATTTAATTTTATTGATCATCATTATCGTTTTTTAATCTGCTTCAGGGCACATGTACTCAGCAGAGAGAGACAGAAACAGAGACAGAGAAAGTGAGAAAGCAAGTCGCTGAGCCCAGGACTTGAACCGTGGTCGGCATTGTAGGAGTCCAGCACCTTAACCACTATGTCATCTGGCGGCCCCAGATTCTTTTCAAACATTCTTCCTGTTCCATAATTGCTAGACTAAATATTCTGTCCTCCTTCAGGTCTTTGCTTCTCAAGGGTACTTAGCAGATACAGAATGTTTTGATTTGTTACTTCAACCCTGGCAATGTATTGCAGGTGTTTTCTGGAACGAGTTCCATTACACCAATTTTT